GCTCCCCTTCTTGTGCTTGCACGACCAACGTCTCGTCCCTTGGCAACTTCTTCGTGATTCGGACGTAGCACGATCGAGCTAACTTCTGATCTCCCCTCGCCACCCCAATCCCGGACGGAGTGGGGAACTTCATGCACAAGTAATACGGGGAGATTACGCATTCCAAGTCCTCCAGGCCAGGCCGCCCTAGGATCATGTTTTGCGCGCAGTTGATGCTCACAACCATGAATTCCATCTTCAGCTTAGCCTTGTGCGCCCCATCCCCTACTATCACGGGCACGGTGATGACTCCTTCGGCCTCAATGGAGTCCCCCGTGAACCCGGAGAGAGGAGTGCGCACGGGCCTCAAGTCTTTGCGGTCCAAGCCGAGGTCCTGGAAGGTCTTTTCATACATGATGTTAACCGAGCTTCCCGTGTCCACCAAGGTGCGATGCACTATGGCGTCATTGATTTCAATCTTCACGACTAGGGCATCCCGGTGGGGGCTCGGCGTTCTCGGGAGGTCATTCTCCGTGAACTGGATTTGCTCTCGTCTTCCGAGCTTGGGCACCGGCGCTTGTTGAACCTTGGCGACAAATGCCATGTGCTTCCACATCTTCCTCTGGGCGGCGGAATCTCCGCCGATGTTTCCTCCATGGATAAATCCCACCAGGTATCCTTGCGCCTCATCTTTGTCTAGGTCCTCACAATCCCGCCCGATGTGCCTCTTCTCGGGATTCCTTGCCTGAGTCGCCACCGCTACCGGCTCGGTCGGTTTCCTCCATGTCCTTCCTTCCGGCAGCCTCCGTGAGGGGGTGGCGTTCTCATCCCGCGGAGGCGGCCCTCGGGCGATGAGTCGCTGCATCTCTTTCTGCAGAGTGAAGCATTCCTTAGTGTTGTGAGTGTTATTGCGATGATACTCGCAATACTTGGCACCGCTGGACACCGCATAGGTTTCTACGTGCGGGAGCGAGGAGAGGGCAAGCTCTCGACCCGTCCCCACGGGCGCACCCACGGAGTACACACCAGCCGAAGGCGTCCTCGGGCCCGCGGTGTAATCTTTCTTCTTCTTCCTCTTCTTCGCGGCCTCTCCAGAGTCTGCAGGAGCTCGCTTGGCGGGCGCGGCCTCAGAGTCGGGAATATCATCGAACTCCTCCGAGGCTAGGAACTTAGCGCGCGCCAAGGTCTCTTGGTACGTGGGGGGAGGATTCTTGCGGAGCTCCTTCCTCACTTCTCCGCGGGGAAGGGCTGCTTGGAACATGGCCACCAACGCTTGGTCATCCGCCCCATGCACGTCTCTTGCTTCCTTTTCCCACCGGACTATGAAGTCGCGGACCTTCTCTCCCTTGTGGATGCATATGTTGAGCAGGTGGGAGTAAGGGAGCCTCTGCCTTCGGTTTGCCGCGAAATGCGTCAAGAACCTCTCCGCCAGTGTATCCCAATCGTCAATAGTTCCCTTCGGGAGCCGGTTGAACCAATCGCACGCAGAGCCCTCCAGCGTCGCGAGAAAGCATCGACACTTGACCTCGTCCGGGGCAGCCTCCGCTTCCATAGAAGCATAGAACTTAGACAAATGATCTTGGGGGTCCGTCGTTCCGCTGTAGGCCTTGATCTGCCACGGCCGGAAGTTTGCCAGCAGCGGGACCGACATAACCCTCGGAGTGAACGGGGTTACCGTCCGCAAGATGGACTGGCTGTAGGGAGCCCTGGTCTCCACTCGGCGCTTAAGCTCGGCAACCTCACGTGCGAGCCGAGACACTCCTTGGTCAGAGACCTTTGTCTTCTCAGTTCTCGTCGGGCTATGGCGACGCTGGGTGCGCTCCTCCCGCCTCTCTCCGCTCCGCTCGGACCTCGCCGAGCGAGCATCCGATGTTGCGGACTCCTCAGCA